TGGGCCGAATGCTTGCCACCGGACCTTTTTGTTTTCTAAAGCATTTTCTAATTTAGTTTCTAAGATAAACTTGTAAATTTAATATAAAATTGTGTAGTTAACCAAAAATTGTGAAATCAATTTTGTTAGGTTCCTAAAATCATGATCTATCTGCTAGTATATTTTGTTCATATAGTTTTATAATATTTTCTAGAGTTATCTAATTAATTTGAGATGCTTAATATTGTAAGATATAAACTTGTAAGAATTGTTGTGATAAATTGGTGATAGTGTTGGCTCTGAAACTTGCACAGTAAATTCCAAATATTATTAGGTGCTCACTATAATTTTTGTAGCTCCATAATAATTAGTTTCCTAGGGTAGCTAAATGAGCCATAGTTTGAAAATATATGTTTAATCAATAAAATATCGAAACACCTTGGGATTTTAGAACTAAAACATTTTTTTGGAGACGAAGCCTTGCTTGATGATGTGGATACGTAGACCAGTTCGTTAGTTATTAAAACTAGCTCGTTAGCTTACGGAGTATAATCATATATTTAAGAGTTGCAGTTACCGTTGATTAATTGCGTCTCTGTGTTGCATCCACGTATATCATAATATGAACAACGATGGATCAGGGAGTCGACTGAAGTAGCGAAAAAAGTGGTGCCTTGATGATCGTGTCACCATGATGGAATGCTAACTTTTGGTTATATCTTACCTAGACAAGCCCCGGTGCGTAATCCCTATTATTCTGCACCTTATCTTATGCTTGTGTATTAAGTTTTAAGAAGTTAAATGAAAACCACTTTCACACACACACATATATATATATATCCTTATCCTATGAGTCATACTAGTATGTCAGGATCGTGTAGATTGCTATGCTATAGGATCCGGTAGAAGTCAAGTGATTACCTGTCACTCACGAGAGATAGAAAATATATTATTATTGTTATTATATAATTATCTCATGGAATATATATGAAGGATAATTGAAGACCGGGCGAAATGGTACTTTAGATCTGGACTTGGTTAGTCATTCGAACGATGCTCGGATTGCATTTGTTCTACCTGTGTCTGTTGAGGACCGTCCGTTGCTGTGGATGGTAGTCAGGTCACAGACTTAATATCCTGAGCACATACTTGCTTATGGGAGCGGGAAGGCTCGTTACGCTCTTGTCGTGGGTTCCGGCTCTTTCCTGGACTGACTGATTGGAGGCGGGAAAAGGTGGAGGTCTAAGCACAACATTGAGATCGGGTCTCAAGTGTGGGGGCCTGGAGTCCAAGTTTAGACGGGGACCTGGACCCCTCGACAGGAGTGGAATGGGTTGGTCTTGTTTGTGCCTGGGGTACAAGCGAGGCGTGTGTTTCGGGGTACCCAGCTGGGATACATTGATTCGCGAATGGCCGTTTCTGTGAGACGGTATGACTTGGTTATGGTCTAGCACCGTAGTAAGAACTAGAACTATGAAAAATGGTAAAATGGTTCTGATTGCTCACCACCTGCTTGAAGGTAGCATAGGTGCTTAAGTAGAATGGTTAGTTAATGAACTAATGATGACTGCTAATAAAATTGAACATAAGGACGTATATTTAGTAATGGTTCCTGTAGATGCAATAACCCACAAGCCAGATAGCCTTGCATATTCTTGGAGTCTTTTATTTTTTTCCTATGGGGTAAGTCTTGCTGCGTACAATCGAGTACTCAGGGTTTATTCCCCCTATTGCAGGTGATCGGAGGATACTTAGAGCTGACTCTTATGTGTGGAAACCTCCTGGTGGGCTCAGAGAAGATTCCTTTCACGCTACGACCGTAGTGTTTATTTATAACCCTTACTAAAGGTTTTTATAAGAAAAGATGTAAAATCTGATAGCCGCTCTTGTATATAAATGTCCCCTATGTTAATACTTCATCATGTCATTAAAGTAATCTTTGCTTCCTCTATAACTCTGATAGCATTGTTATATTTCGCTGTTATAATAAATTGAGGTAATATTCTGTTACTGTAATAAAGTGATGTAAGAAATGACTTAAGAATGATGTAAGCTTTATTCTCTCATTTATGATCCTGATGAAAAATATGGATTTTTGAGTTTTTCCTTGGGGTGTGTTTGACAGAACTACGTTGTTTAGTGTCTCTCTCTTGAGTACTTAGTGTCTAATGGAAGGCAACTATTCCTGAGAGGCATTAGATTAGACGGTTTTGCCACATAAAGTGCTCTAAAGTTTAGAGGAGATGATCCAAATAGGCCCTCCATAGATTTCTAGCCCAAGAATTTGTCTACAAATAAATCAATCTCTAGAAAATTTTGAATGGTCCACCATAAAAGGATCAAGATGCCTAAGAGGAAGGGTGAATTAGGCTAATTCTAATTTTTTTATAATAATTAAGCCCAACACTTAGCCTATTTCACCTCTTGTGCCTATAAGTGTTTCTATTGTTCTACCGCACAAAAGTTTTGCACACTAGGTTCTAATCCTACTCTAGCATGGCAATTCTCAAAATGTAAAGACATGAATTGAATTACTCAAATGTAGATGCTCAAGGTAAAGAGAAGGAGAGGATCACGGCGATATTTTTCTGAGGTATCAGAGAGTCACCACTCTCCACTAGTCCTCGTTGGAGCACCCCGCGTAAGGGTGTAGCTCCCCCTTGATCCACGTAAGGATCAAGTGCTCTCTATGAGCTGATTATTCGACACTCCGTCGCGGCGAATCTCCCACAACCGCCCACATCATGACTTGGGTCATTCACAAGCTCCTCCGGATGATCACCAAGCTTCCAATCACCACCGAGTCGTCTAGGTGATGGCAATCACCAAGAGTAACAAGCACGAACTCTCACTTGACCCAACCAAGCCTAAAGAAAAGAGTGGATGCACACTTGCTACTCTCTATGCACTAATGAGATCCTTAATCTTGGATTAGTAAATCTCAATCACCCCACTAGGCTCTTGCTCTCCCTTGCACACTAAATGGTTTTCTCAGCTAAACAAATAGGCAAGAGAGCTAAGTTGGACGAGTAAGAGAAGTATTTATACTCCCCCAATCAAAACATGACCGTTACTGTCCAACTCAGCAAAACATGAGGTGACCGGACGCGCAAGTCCTCATGACCGGACGCGCAGGTCAGTACACCACAACTGCAAATAGCCGACCTTGTCAGAGAGAGCCATTAGAGTGAGCTGACGTTGACCTGTGTCCGGTCAACATCCACCGGACGCGTCCGGTCAGGAATTTTGGTCTCTGGACCCTCTCTGATGTCGACCTGACGCTGCAAGCTCAGAGTCCGGTCATTTATTGCTCAGCGTCAGATCCTCCCTGACAGCGAGGCCCCACTGCTATAGATACGACTAGAGGCGTGTCCGGTTCTAATAACTGTGCAGCGTCCGGTCGCTCCTCGGCTTCTGCTGCGCGCGCTGATCACTGACCGGATGCAACACCAATGAGTCCGGTCATCACCAAACCAGCGTCTGATCAACATTTTGACCCTCCATTCACTTCCAATTCAAAATCCTTTGTGAATGAGGTTGACTCCACTTGATCTTTGGACTATTTCTGAGCTACCTAGTGCTAAGTTTGACAAGTGTGCACCACACCTAACCCATTAGACTCACCTAGGTCAAGCTACTAGTTTATACCCCCCTTAATAGTACGGTCAAAGGAAAAACAAAGTCCTAAACTACTCTAAGTGTCTCTCCAACGTCAAATGACACTTAGAACTAGTCCGTCCTTAACCCTGTCATCCATCCTTTAAAAACCGAAACGATTTTCATCGACAGAGGCATGAAAACCATAATTGCCCAAACGATCATCATTACCATGACCTAACTCAAATTGCCTCTGCAAAACACACGTTAGTCACAGTAAACTTGTATCATCATTAATCACCAAAACCCAATTAGAGGCCTAGATGCTTTCACACCAGTCCATTTATTTTTTTAAGTATCCTCACATTTACTGCACCCCTCCCATCTCAGTGTTGAGTTTCTGTAGTCGGATATGTATAGTAAATGCTATAATTAGTGTGCTATTGGAACAACCGTCGATCCGTGTACAACTACTCTAGTTAATGAAGGGCAATATGGTCTTTTTATTTTTCATACTAATCTGTTATAAATTTAATAGGAATCCGTTGATTCAGGGAGAGAGGGAGTATACCTTAACAAAATGAACAAATATTGCAGAAACTAAAATGTAACATGGTCATGGAAAGATGTCAACATGTTTTCATACGAAAAAATGAAATGTCAATATTTATTTTGAATAACAAAAGCTTACCAGTATCTTCAATAATGAAATACCAAATTTTAGGCCCTATCTCAGGCTTTAGCCCGTGCAGGCTGGCATTACTAGACCTGGGTTGGCCCTGGTGCTTTTGGACCAGGCTGTTTTAGGCTCAGGCCCATCCCGAAGCCCCACTAGGCCTGGTGTGAGAACTGAGAGGCTGTAATAATTAATAATCATAATTAATCTAGAATCTAGACAACCACTTCTCACACCGTATGGTATTGACTTTTGACCGGTTGGAACTACACGGATTAATTAGCTGCAGACAGCGGGGAGGAAAGGGGGCTCAAGGGGAACTCCAATTAGCACCCGAGGGCGTTCATAACGGACGTCATCAAAACACCCTGTTTCTCCTTGTCCTCCATGTGATGAGCCCGGTGTTCTGTATTCTTCTTCCTTTTCATTTCCTCCACCGCTACCCTCTTCTCCTCCCCCCACTCCAACCCCCGCCCCATGAATATGATCGTCAGAAGCTGCTAGCATCATCCGCCGCCTCAACTTCGTCACCCCCTCCTCGCCATTCTACCCCGCCAGCACCCAGCTGTATATATCCCCGCGCCCAATTTGGTCCCTGGTGTGTGAGGTCAGCTGTTTTAGCTCAGCGCGGGCGCGGCGTGGCAGCCATCAAAGGAAGCAAGGAGAACAGCGGCGGCGGCGGCGTAGCATGCGGCGGTGAGAGAGGGAGGGAGGAGGAAGAGGGAGCCGAGAGAGCGAGAGCCAGAGGATGATGCAGCTGCCGCAGCATCACAAGCCCTCCGCCCACTCCTGCTGCTCGTCGTGGATCCGGAGGTCCCCGCCGCCGTCGCCGCCGCACAAGAAGCCGGGCGGCGGCGGGAGGAGCCGGTACGCCTGCCGCCTCGTGCCCCTGCTCGTGCTCACCGTGTACAGCGTCGTCACCGTGCTTCGCATCCCCAGCTCCTCCCTCGTCGTCTCCCCCGCCGATTCAGGTAATAAGCCGGGGCGCGCTCGAGTCCCAAATCCTTGTCGCTCTCGCCGGGCCGCCGTCATGGAATGCTGGATTGCTCGCTTCTCCCTCGCCGGGTCCTTGTGTTGGCGTGCGCTGAAATGGCGACTCGTTCTCGTTCCCCCCTGCAGAGCGCGTGGAAAGGAGGGAGGACTTGGAGGCGCTCAAGACCCACCTGCCGTCGAACCAGAACAGCCTCGAGGCCCGCGAGGAGACGCGGTCGGTCGCCTCCCTCCCCTGCTCCGCCTTCATCAGCGGTGAGTTGATTTGCTTGGTTGGAGATCAGCTTGCTTCTGCTTCTGCTTCAACGGAACCCAATCAAATGGAATCGAATCGAATTGCTGCTGCGTGCGCAGGTGAGGCGGGTCATGGCGAGGGAGAGGGCGTCCTGTGCTGCGACCGGAGCCACTACCGCAGCGACGTGTGCTACCTCCGCGGCGACGTGCGCACGGACCCGTCCACCTCGTCGGTGCTCCTGTACAACGCGCCCCTCAGGAGCGCCGCCGAGAAGGTGCGGCCGTACACGCGCAAGTTCGAGGACAGCATCATGAGCACCATCGACGAGGTGACCATCCAGCCCGTCCCTGGCGCCTACAACGCGAGCGCCAGCGCGAGCGACGGCGGCACCCTGCGTCGCCGGTGCGACGTCCGCCACCCGCGCGGCGTCCCAGCGGTGGTGTTCTCGACGGGCGGGTACACGGGCAACGTGTACCACGAGTTCAGCGACGGGCTGATCCCGCTGTTCGTCACGGCGCAGCGGTTCGCCGGCGAGGTGGTGTTCGTGGTGCTCGAGTACCACTACTGGTGGCTGGGCCGCTACGGCGCCGTCCTGCAGCAACTCACCAACTACAAGGTGGTGGACTTCCGCTACGACCGCCGCGTCCACTGCTTCGACGAGATGATCGTCGGCCTCCGCATCCACGGCGAGCTCGTCGTGGACCCCAAGCTCATGCCCAACGGTACGCCCCCCGCCCCCCAATTTCCTAGCAAATTCCCCCTCCGTCTTGCAATCTACTACTATCTTCCATTTCACATCACATCAGAGTTTCAGACGCTGATGGCATTGCATTCCTCGCGTTGCGATGTCAATTTGTTAGTTATGTTTCGTTAGGAATTTGGGATCCACCTGTTAATTGTATACTGCCGGTTAGCTTAGCTTAGCTTGCGGGTGAAGAAGGGGAACGGCAAAAAGGCGTGTGAAAATCCACGCGCCTCGATCGAGATCGGTGCCGGCTAACACCGGCCGGGGAGGAGAAATCATTTGCCCCTAGAGCTCGAGGGCGTCGTGCTTAGGCACTACTAGTGCTGCTCCCTCTCCCAGTCTAATCATTCTTTGCCCCTCTCTCTTTCTCCGTGTTCGGCAGTGGGAGTGGTGGTTTGATAGAGCGGTCACCCAGTCCTGGTAGTTCGTTAGGGTGGTTAGAGGGAGGGGCAGTAGATTGCTGCTGACGCATCCGACGCTTCTGTCCTGCTCTGCGCCGCTCCCTGGCCCCTGCGACGGTCACCCACCGGCCACCACCACCGCTTCTCTTCTTACGCCCGCCGGTTCCTCCAAATCCTTCGCGAGTGACGGCGACAGCCAGCCGCGGATCACACTGTTTCGGCTGCCCGACAAGCCCGCACCGCACGGGCGCGTCGCGTACGGCACCGGTCGGGCTGCCTCTCCCGCACCTGCCGCTCTGCGCCGGCGCACGTTTCTGACCCCTCGCGTTAGGCACTCCCCCCCTGTTAGGAGTATGTCTTAACCTAACGGCATGGGGCCAATCCAACTTACTTGAGCCGTACTATTTCAGTAAAATAATATTTTTTTTCTTTTACAACAAATCAGTATCATGGTCTTGTTTAGATTGCCTCAAAATTCTAAGTTTTTTTACTCTCTCTCCATTACATTAATTTTTGAATGCATGCATGGAGCATTAAATGTAGGTAAAAAAAATAACTAATTATACAGTTTGGTTGTAAATCACGAGACGAATCTTTTGAGCCTAGTTAGTCTATGATCGGATAAAGTTTGTCAAATACAAACGAAACGTGCTACAGTGTCCAGATTACAAAAATTTTGCAATCTAAACAAGGCCCAGCATCAGCACTTTTCATTCTGCTGCACCGGCAAAAGGCTTCGTCGTCAGCAGCCTATTCGTTTGGCTGTGGCTTATCGTAAACGATCGTAAATTTCTAGTCGGAACAGTATTTTTCTCTCACACAAACTAACTATAAATACTTCTTCACGAATCAACAATTAAAACATGCGAACCAATCAACCGAACATGCTGCAGATAGAGGAAAAGGGAAACGGAGCGCCCAGACCCGACCCGAGAGGGGAAGTAACGGGAGGCTGAGGTGAAGCAGCATCGCCCAATCGCCCGCGCGGGGGAATCTTGCGGCGACCGATCATGAGCGGGAGATAATGCCGGAGATCATTGCGCGGGGCAGGGGGGAAAAGGGCGGCTTTTGCAAAAGCGTTAGTGCAAAAAGCGGGTGTGCTCCGCACAAATGAGGGTCCATCCCGATGCCCGCGACGCCGACGCCTCGTGGCCGAGGGATCCCGGCAAACAAACCCATCCCCCGGCCCCCGCTCGCCACTTCGAGCGTGCTCCTGCCCAGCCGTTTTCGTGCGTGGATTGGGATCGGCTACTAAGGCCCGTTTAGTTCCATCTAAAAACCAAAAATTTTTTTGCATAGTACTCGTCATATCAAATCTTGCGGCACATGAATGGAGTACTAAATGTAGACGAAAAAAAACTAATTGCACAGTTAAGTGAGAAATCGCGAGACGAAATTTTCGAACCTAATTAGTCTATAATTAGACACTAATTGCCAAATAAAAACGAAAGTGCTACAGTACAAAAACGATCTAAACACGCCCTAACAGCCAAAAAAGGCAAACAAAAACGCCCGCGCATCGTGCGCCACTACTCCGGCATCAGCATTAACACAGTCCCTGCTTCTAGTAGTGCGCTACAACAACAAGTAGTACTCTAATTGGGCTGCAGTGACCGGATAATTGGAGCTACCGTTTGGATTTTGAAACCGCCCGCACTAATTCGGTGAAACCGCAGGGGTTTAGGGCCTGTTTAGATTTCAAAAAATCATGCGTAGTATCTATCACATTGAATCTTACGGCATATGTATAAAGAACTAAATGTAGACAAAAAAAAAACTAATTACACAGTTGAGTGAGAAATCGTAAGACGAAACTTTCGAACCTAATTAGTTTATAATTAGACACTAATTGACAAATACAAACAAATGTGCTATAATACCAAAACCAAAAAATTTTAGCATCTAAACGCCGCCTTAGTAACGGATCCACGAAGCTTTAGGTCAGGTCTGCACATCGATTGATATGGGGTAGTACGTACTGTACCCAGGCCTGGTTTAGATGTTAAGTTTTTTCGCTCTTTCTCCATCACATTAAATCTTTGAACATATATGGAGTATTAAATGTAGATAAAAAAATAACTAATTACATAGTTTAATTATAAATTACGAGACGAATCTTTTAAGCATAGTTAGACCATAGTTAGATAATAATTATTAAATACAAACGAAAATAGTACAGTACCAAATACTAATTTCTAACTCCAATCTAAAAAACCAGGCCCCACCTTCACGCCCAGGCCTGAGTTATTACAAGGTGGTGTTCACATCCATTCATGGCCCCATTAAAACCCCCATGTACTGGCCGTAGCAATAAAAGAAAGAGAAAACGCCGATGATGTTGCTACGGCGCCGGATCTCGGAGAATGATGCTCCTGCAGGCTGCAGGAGCTGTAATAAATAAACAAACTATGCCTTGTTCACTTAGCTAAATTTTTTGAACCCAATGAATAGTACGACTTTCGTTTTATTTGGCAAATATTATCAATCGTGGATCAACTAGGCTCAAAAGATTTATCTCGTGATTTTCAACTAAACTATGTAATTAGTTATTTTTTTTACCTACATTTAATACTCCATACAAATAGTTAAAAATTAATGTGATAGAGAAAAGTGAAAAAACTTGGAATTTGGATAGCATCTAAACAAGGCCCTGCGCCCCGACACGGTGAATCACGCGCCAGCCATTGCAGCACGTTACTCTTGCAGGATTGCAGAGTGCGGTTATTATAGTATAATGACGAGCGAGACGCGGCATGTGCGTAGAATAATTTCTTTTCAAATCGACTGGGCATGTAGGGGGCGAGGCCCTGTCTGATGTCTTGTGAGGAATCGTATAGCTATCGAATAGGGCGTCGTGTAAAAACTATCTTAGTAAATCTTTTGCATATTCGAGAGAAAGAGAAATCGTATAGCTATACGGCCTGCTCGCTTGTGCTATTCAGTCGGCTTTAATTCGTACCAATCAGTTGTGGAACAGTATTTTTTATCATAACCAACCAGCCATACAAATTAGCAGAAGTCGATTTAATACCAGCTCTGCAACAAGCTGCATGGACATGTCGCGGGGCTGCCGTACTTCGCAGAAAATAACAACAGCTGGCTCTGGGTGCCGTACTTCGCAGATTGAAAAAAACAACAGCTGGCTCTGGGTGTAAATATGTGTATAATAAACTGGTTGCTGCTGATTTACTAAAATAGAGGCGACATATTTTTGGTACATGGGCAGTGCATTCGTGATTCGATATGTGAGATTTTTTTGTATAGTTTTTACGCGACATGGCTGGTACATGCGTGTGATTCGTGTGAGATTTTTTTTGTATAGTTTTTACGGCCACATGCGTGCCCTCTTTAGGTGGCTGTGCAGTTTTAGGGCCCAGTGGTTTATGCCTGTCCTTCTGTGGTGAAGTAGCGATGGCCTGTGTCCTTTTTTTTATCTTCATCACCATCTGGAGGTTGCAGCTTGGTTGTTGTGAATAGGACTGTTATCTAATCCTGAGAGTTGTGGAGTTCTTGTCGTGAGAGCACGGCGCTACAGCATCATGCATGCACACTAATTAATATGAAGCATTAGAAGTGCCTTAGTACATTGCCGAAATAATGCGATGGTTCTAATTCTAAGTAGTCGTGATCAGCTTTGTGTTTGTGTCTGAATTGATGGATTCGGCATCTGAAGTTCTAAACCATTAGAGGGGACAACATGTAGCAAGACAAGTTTTGTTTGTGTCGTCCTGGCATTGTCTGTAGCTGTGGAAGAACCTGTAGGAAGATACGTTTACATGTCGAAATGCTGGGTCCTTAGCAGATGCCTTGGTTCATGAAGTGATAAGAGAGGATATGTATACCCAGGGTTCGATTAAGACATGTAAGGACTCGGCGCTGGCCCGGGTAGCTGTACTGTAGTATGACCTCACCAAAGCGCTAATTCTCGCGTCCTAATCCTGCCAGTGGATTTAATTTGTTGCTGCCTGTTGATGAGTAGATGTTCGGATGGGTACTTGCAGCAGGTTGGTGCCACATTACTGTCCGGCGAGCTCTTTAGTTTTGACACGCCTGTGATGGCGTGATGTGTGCGTGAGCGCGTGGGCTGCCAGGGGAGGGTGACCAAAACTTTTCTGGGACCATGCGACTTTGGATATGAGCTGGCAAAGCAACAAAACATGCATAGAGACAGACGGTTAGTTAACAAAACCAGCACACCAACGGCTTTTCCACGGAGATGGGTGACGCCCGGAATCTAGCTTTATGGCTGACGCTAAAATGATGTGGGGGCGAGGAGATGGGTTACGCAAGGTCGCAGGCGTGATCTGCGTTTTGTTACGAGGAGTGACTGAGCTGTGGGGCGACACAGTGACAGTTTCTAGTATAGTCCTAGATAAAACCATGTCCAGAAGTAGAAAGATGCATGACATCTGTTTCTGGATGTCATGAAATTAAAGTGACGTTGCATAACGTGCTCAGCTGGGTTTAGTTATTGTACTCTGCCTGCTGCTCTCGGAGTGAAAGCTTAGTGTTTACTATAATGAATGCACTTGCTTAACTACGTCTTAGTAATAAGAAGCAAAAATGTACAAGTAGCAGAAACGGAAGATGCAGCTAAAGTGAACAGAAATGTGGTTACTGATCCTAGGAGTTCAAAAATATGCGCGTACTTAATTATTGAGTGCCATAAAGCAAATATTCCAGATTGACCTAACTCCTCTCTTTAGCAATGAAAGAGGCTGGCAACTTGTGATTGCCACATAAAGGCCACCAATCAACCGAAAAACGCTCTACAAAACACACACACAAAAAAGGTACTCTCCCCAAAAGGGTAATAGTGGACAGGAGAGAGTTGAGTTGTTGATACAGCGTACCAACAACTGTGTAGTGGCACAGCTCTGTTATGGTCATTGTGTCGGTGGCTTCGAGTCGGTACCCAATTTGGTGGGCACTGAGCTAACAACTAACCAACAATACGAGGATAGCTCTGTGAATAGACAAAAATCTTCGTTGCATTTCGGTGGCAAGCCAGGGGGCGGCCTTCTGTGTTCAGTGAGGACAATCCAATTAGTTAAAATAATGAAAATTTTAAACTAATTAGCTTATCCCATGTACTATGTATTTAAAAACGAAGGGACGATATAGATAAATTCATTCAAGCCTCTCGCTGAATCATCACCTTACAGCTTGTTGGCTTGTTGATTTTAGCTAGGGCTTATCAATTAGCTAATAAAGTTTTTCTCTCACAACAAATCAGCACCAACCAAGCTTATTAGCTCAGAAACCAACTAGCGAACAGGCTCTTAGACCGGCCCCCGTTTGGGACTGTATAAAACAACCAAACCAATCACGACCAAATCTAGTCTAAAATTGATTCATGGTTCATTGGTTGGTGGCAATAGTGCACGTAGAGGTAGAGCGGCGGGGCCGCCGTGTCTTGTTGGACGGGTGGATCCAGCCATCCCAGGGACTCCGTGGGCACACCCGGTTTCCGGAACCGCGCCACGGACGACACGGGAGTGGACCACGGCACGCGCTGCCGGATGGCTGGTCGTTTCTCGCTGATCTGACTGTGCAGTGTGGTGTCGTGGACTGGTGGTGATTGATGCGTGTGAGAAGTGACGGTTTCCGGCCCGATCGGCTGCTTGCTGGCGCGGAGTGTGGGAGCATTGAGCATAGTGCCTGCCTGTCTGTCGACCACGGGCTACCCGCGCCTTGTTTGGATGCCATCCAAATTCTAAGTTTTTTCATTCTCTCTATCACATCAATTTTTAGCTTTTTGTATGGAGTATTAAATGTAGATAAAAAAAATAACTAAGTACATAGTTTAGTTGGAAATCACGAGATGAATCTTTTGAGCCTAGTTGGTCTACGATTAGACAATATTTATCAAATAAGACGAAAGTGATACTATTCATCAGGTTCACTTTTTTTTCAAAGTGAACGAGGCCCCGATCTCGATCGATCCGTTGGCCTGCCGCTGGCAGTGGCTGTGACTTGTTGTGTGAGCCGGTCCTGTGCCATGTCAGTTATCGCAATGCAGCGTTTCCGGTAATGCCGGCGCTATGCTCTTTGCGTTATGCTGAAGCAACCCTTTCCGAGAGATCCATGCCCCAAACTCCCCATGTGTCCATGTCCCGAACTCGATCCAAGCAGGATGATCTATCTAGACAGGACATCCAAGTAGACAGGGGGGTCGTCCAGTCTCCGTGCAATTGCGTCGAGGAGCACGGCTCTTCCCGAAACGGCTACTACTACATGCGGGTGATTGTTCGTGTTAGATTGCGTGGCCACTTCCTTGGGAATCCGAAACACATCTCACATCTGGAACGATGCGTTTCAGGTTCCCCACGGTTCCGACTGCTATAGACGTGAATATCCTTTTCCGTTTTGCTGACGCCGATTTGTTAAAACTGTGAACTTTTGCAAAGAAAAAAAAACTCGGAATTAACTTGCATTGTTTCTGAATGAATGTGTGCAAATATATTTGTCGTCGGGTCCAATGCAATCACGAACTTGCATTTTGCACGGGGAAATTGTCCTTTGTGAAACTAAACGCAAAAATGGTGATGATACGCAGGCAAGAGCATCAAGGATTTCCAGGCGCTGCTCCACCAGGGCTACAGCCGGACGACGTCGTCGGCGTCGCCGCCCGTGCCTCTTCCTCTGGCGCCGCCATCCCGGCCGTGCCCGCGCCCGGCCAAGCCGAAGCTGCTCATCTTCATCCGCAAGCAGAACCGGGTGCTGCTCAACCTCCCGCACGTGGTGACGGCGTGCCGCCGGGCCGGGTTCGCGCCGCACGTGATGAACCTGCGGCGGCAGACCCCGTTCCCCGTCATCCACGCCGCGCTGGCGTCGGCGGACGCCATGGTGGCCGTGCATGGGGCCGCCGTGACCCACTTCCTCTTCATGCGCCCCGGGTCAGTGCTCCTCCAGATCGTGCCCGTGGGCCTCGACTGGGCGGCCGACGCCTTCTACGGCAAGCCCGCGCTGCAGCTCGGCCTCGAGTACCTCGAGTACAAGGTGGCGCCCGAGGAGAGCTCGCTGGCCGCCGAGTACGGGCTCAACAGCACCGTGGTGCGGACGCCCTGGGTTATCAGCAGCCGCGGCTGGTGGGAGATGAAGAAGGTGTACATGGACCGCCAGAACGTCACCGTTAACATCAAGCGCTTCGGCGAGCTACTCAAGGCGGCGCGGACTCACCTCAAGAACACCACGGTGTGCGCCAAGGGCACCGGCGCTGCCACGGCGGCACTAAGGTAGAAGATGCTAATTGAGCTTGGTTAGGTGTTAATTACTTAGTCACACTTGTCAATTTCATTGTGTTTTCGTCCTCTTTTTTGGCTGGGGGGGAGAGGGGACGTGGGGTAAAAAGGAGACGAGATCCTGTAAATATGATTGGGTTGGTTCTTGGTTGAGAGATTGGTGGGGATCGATCGCCTCCTTTCATAGTGCATTCGTTTGGTTCATGTTGTTGCTAGAGCAGAAGCAGATGAAGAATAATTTATGGTAGGGGAGGCTCTCCTGAAACACCTTGTTCACACTAGTTCATAGGGGTATCAGCTCTTTCTAGTTCTTTGCCCTTTTTTCCTTTTTTTTTCTTCTTCTTCTCGTTCTTTGGGTGTCCAGATGATGTATAAGAAACTACATTCTGTAACAAAGATCAATAGAAATCCAGACTCTCTTTTACAGATCGTCGAGTGCCTTCTCTCTTCCAGCATGGCACGAATCAAAAGAGGCAGCACGAAACTACAATGCAGTTCTTTGTGAATCCTTTTTAAGTTCTGATGAGATGCAAAAGAGAAAGTTGGGAGGTCCACATGGAGAGGATTCAGGACCTCTTTGGCACGGCTTACGCCGGCTTTGGATTCATCTATTTTGCGTAAATCGAATCACTGTAGCGTGGAGTTGTTTTGTAAGTCGGGGTTAAAATGAATTAGAAGTTAGAAAAAACTAGTTTTTCTGTCTTCATCGACTTTGCCTTCACCGGTGAAGTCGTTTTGAACGAGGAGCTATAGTTTGTCGATTTGTGTCATTCACCCTAGTGTACTGAACGCCGAGGCTACGTAACTCACGAGCAGCACGTGGCGGCAGGGGGGCAGTGCTCTTCTCCCCCACCTCAACTGGTCACTGCAGCGCTCTCCCTGCGCAGCTGTCCCTTGTAGCACACACGCGGCAGCCATGCTGTCGACGAGGAAAGCATGGGCGCTGGCGCCACGTGCTGCTCGGTGCGCCTCGGGGGTCACGACAGCGGGTGAAAGAAAGGGAGCTGTGATTGCTAAATCTGTGATTCACTCGTACGGTCCAGCGGGCCTGCCGGTGGCTTGACGCTGGGGTGTTGTCGGTGGCGGGTGCGGTGCGGTTTGAGCTTACCTCACTGCTGCTTGACCATCAGATCATTCCCGACTACTTAGCGTTGAATTTACTATTGACATACTTCCTCTGTCAAAAAAAAAAAAAATCTCGCTTTCTAAAGAGTCAATCAGTTTGAACTTGGACCAAAATTATATAAAAAAAAATACGAACATTCATAATGCAAAATTAGTATCATTATATTAGTCATAGAATATATTTTCGTAATAAATTTATTTAGAGACATAAATATTAATACTATTTACTATAAACTCTATCAAAATTGAGCTACTTCGACCAGCACGGATCCGATAATTGCATTCTTTTCTGGACGGAGCTTGTCGTCAACAAAAGAATACAATTCTCACATTTCGAGAAGTCAAATAGTTCCAGTTTTGACTAAAATTATATAAAAATGTATTAACACTTACGAGACCAAATAAGTATCATTAGATTAATTATAGAATATATTTTTATAATAAATTTATTTTGAAACATAAATGCTAATACTATTTACTATAAACTTTGTCAAATTTGAACTACGTTTCTCATAATTGCATTCTTTTCTGGATGGATGGAGTATTTGATTAACTAAATGAAACTAACTGTTCACTACTCTTTCCTCCTCAAAATAAGTATACTTTTGTTGACACCGGATTGATCTGAAGAACGCAGTGAGGATCATGTTTACATGGTGAAGAATGAAGAGAGGTTTACAAGTAAACTATCAAAAGGATAACCAATCTAGCAAAGAAACCATTGAGGGAGGGGGATAACCAATCGAGCAAAGAAATTATTGAGGGAGGGACCCTGTCAAGGCAAGGACATCGGCGGGTTGAATTGGAAAAAAGATTGAGTATTATTATTATTAACTGTAAAAATGTAATGTCGATTGTGTGTTGGATACTTCAATCGATCATATACCCCTATTTTATAGGGAGTAAGGGTAGTCTTATCCTATTGAAAAACAATATGGCACTATTATTACTTCGTTTTATAGAAATTTTTTTTGGATTAGACCAAAATTGACATGGCTCTTAAAATTAGCATCGCCCCAATTTAAATGTCAGTAACTTTTAATATTTCGAATATTTTCTAAAATAACGAACCTATACATGTGGCCCATCTAGTTATAGTAAACATTTTTTTTACTCTCTCTACTTACAAAATACAATCATTATATGTTCAAATAGCTTCTTGATAGGGTAAACATGTAATTTTAATATTACATTGATTTTCCCAAAAATTCTAGAAGTGTACTTATTATGGGATGGATGTAGTTAATAGGACTAAATTTAGGTGATTAAAATTTAATCATATATTATTTAGATACATAGTAAAGACTCTTATATCTTTGATTAACTAGAATCAAATGGCAAGGTTAGATTCCTCATCCGAGTTCAAGTCATCAACCTTGTATGGGTGCTCGCATTTTCCTAAATTTATTTCAGGATTTAACCGCGCTATGCTTTTAGTGGTAAGATAGAGTTTATGTACGTGTGTTCACAGGATAAATATGCATGCGTGGACGTTTACGTTGTACTGTGTAATTTAAAAAAACTTAATCAATTGTTTAGTATTTGTAAGAAAAAATGGACCCATGGGCGGCGGCAGGTCGAGGAACCAAAGGGATGGAGTTGTACCTCTTTGATCGGCTTTTGCGTTTTTAAGAAGCAAAAAGCAGGTCTAGAAGCCAAACCAAACAGAGCCTCAACTTTACAATATGTACGCAAAATTATCACTTATTTAAGTTTTGTCAAACTTTAGGCAAAATCTCATCCCATGCAGGACTACGACTTTATTTCACCTAGTGTTTAATTTAGGTCTTATGATTTATTTAATTTTAATTAAATAAAATTAGCACAAGCCTAGTTAAAATCCATCAACAGGCACGAACACGATATGATGTCTGCCCTTTATTCCGTCTGCACTTATTTTGTTACACGGATCTCAGATCATCACGGTGTGGTTCAGATGATGGTTCCAGCCTCTGAGGACGACTTTGGGACTGGACCCCTGGGGAGCCTCGAACGAGATGTCGATGGCCATCTTCTCCCCCGGCGTCAGCGAGAAGTAGTTGTCTGAGTAGTGGACCGGAAGGATTCTTGTGTCATTGTATTCCTCCTTAGCTGTTGATGGTTCAGAGGTATGCACTGAGAAATGGAGGAAGAATGCAACCCCTGAATCGGTCCCGTTGACCTCCAGTGTTCTTCGATTGTCACTTGGTCTTGCGACCCCGAGGCCATTGCGTATTTTCCTCCATAGTCCATCACTCTCGTTTCCCTTCCGAGTAGTTTCTTTGCCAGTGCTGCGGGAACCACTTGCATCACCTAGATCCATTGCTGATAACGAACGTGTGCCTTCTGCTACTGACGTCTTTGAGTTGTTCTCTACTGTCATTCTTACTTTGTGCATCGTGCCTGAAACTGAAATGTCAGAATAAATTTTTAGTGGAATATTTTTCTGCTGATACTGCTCCAACAATTTGTAGTCCTGCCCAGGAAGATGTAACCAGTAGAAGTTTCTGGAGATTATTCCATTGTCTGACAACCTGAAGAGTTTGAGGAGCAGAAAATACACAGGCTTGGCATCTTTCATCTTTGGGTATTTCATCTCGATAATTTGCTTCACTTTCTTTGGCGGTACAACTATTTTCTCAGTAACTTTGTAATAGGGGCATGCACCATCTAGATCCCACACTGAAATTTCGACAGCCATATCTTTGAGTTCATCAGCTGTAGTGTTTACCACCTACAAATCATTTCCATGGAACAATTACTATAAAGTTAAAGACTTGGACCAAATGTTCAAGGCGCAGCACATACCTCTACAAAGTAGGTGACCAAATTCAGTTGGACATGAATAGGTTGAGCAGCACAACGGCAACCATAAAACCCAGCAGTTTGGTCTTGGAGGTGATCATAGAACTGGCCCCTTAGTCCAGTCCAAGGATTCTGCGTCTTCCAAATTAGAACACCTGTAAACTTTGTCCACATGAAGGAAGTCCATCCTTCCAAAAGTGCTCTGTACTGAACATAGTTCACCAACTGTGCCTGGGAGTTAGCAACATTAATTAAAATGCTTCAGATGCTTAAGCATAGAGGAGTCCCTAGAGATGAAATCTTAGTACTAGATTACCTTTTCACAAAAATCATCCAGGTCTTTTGGAGGTCCATATAGTTCAATCTGATCATGGACCTTCCCTGGTTTTGAGTATGGAATATACTTGTGGTAGTCCCATATTGGATTTGGTACTTCTTCGATGTACCCGTCAATTCTTTTCTTGAAAACTGGAATGCTCCATCCTACTGGAGGCATTGTAGCCCTAATTGTTGCAGCAACTGGAACCCCCACAGACCCAACTTCAGGGTTGAACCCATATTTGTAGAAGCTGTCCTTGAAAAAACTTTCTGGATACTGAATCTCATATGGACCATCAGTGAAGTCACCTTTACCATTCGCAAAACCATCCCACATTGATCCTTGCACATACACCCGAGAACCATCAAGGTATTTACTAGGGTCAGTTGATTCTTCAGATAAATATTTTTCTTCATTTTTTGATGTCTGGTAACTTACAAACATTGGATGTAGCTTCAAATCATTCTTCAGTGCTTTGTTAATGTCAACTGGTGGGACTTGCTCATTACCACCAACCCATAAAGCTAGACTGGCATGATTCCTAAGTAATTTCACGGTATCTCTAGCACACAAAAGAAAGAGATCATGATCCAAAGGGCCATTAGGGTTAGATACTGGAACTCCTCGGCCATCAACATCTCCAGTTATCCAAAATTCTTGCCATACCTGTTCAAAATGGTTCCGTCATGTAAGCAATCTTGACATGATAGTAACCTAGGGTGAATCAAGAATTCAACTAGAGAGGATGTGGACCCAGCACTAAACTCATCAGGTTTACCTAATCCTTTACAGCTACAGGGAAAGAAAATCCCAGAAACCAGCTGGTCACCCACATTTTACAGAACACAGAATCCTAAGTAACGATTGGTTGACATTATTTCAAAGGAATTGTCTCCTTTGTTTTGAATTTTTCATGACTACCTAATATTCATAATTTTGGATAAGAAAACACGGCAACCAATTGACATGGAGATAAATTCAAGCTTACCATCAGACCATAGACATCGCAAAAATGATAAAAATCAGGCCTCTCTGCTAATCCACCACCCCAACATCTAAGCATATTGAAGTTCATGTCAGCGTGGAACTTGATGTCGGTCATATATCGCTTCTTTGTCAATCTAAGAAGGCCATCTGACAATATCCAGTTCCCTCCTCGGATAAAAATAGGTTCACCATTTACCTTGAAGATCCTGGACATGATTTCCATTTGCATCAACGGGTTGCCAAGAGATCAAATATTCAATAGACACAGTTTGGGCATTCCATTAATACCTCCCACCAGTAGAATCATCAATTGTACTCTCAATCTTGCGAAATCCAAAATAATGGCTCCAGGAATCAGATTCTCCGAACCCTTTGACATCCACACTAATCTCAACGTTGTATAGGGATTGCTTTCCCATGCCATTTGGCCACCACAGGTTGGGCTTATAGAAGAATAACTACAAAGTTCATATTTCATATATAACAATGCCAAATATTTGAGCCTTTTAAAAAGGCTGGAATAACTAAAAATGTTTATGTTTCATATATAGCAAAGTCAATCAAGAATCAACTTGCATAATTGAGGATTTTAAAAGGTCCTCCTAATATATAGTACAACCACTGAAGAACCTTTGAAGATAAAATTAAGCTTATACCTAGTTCTTTTGCCTTCATATAGATGAGAATTGTGCAGCCATGACTTAAGTAACATTGGATATTTTAGGGTTAAGAGGTAGGACATGACAAGGGGATTTCATTAGCTAACACAAGAGACATTTGGTAGTATAGTCCTGTAAATGAGCATAGCTGATAGGCAACAAGCATATATGGTATAGCTGTCATACGTAGTTGCTGACATTTTTACTGTGGATAAAGTAAGCTGTGGCAACAAGCTCACAGCAATTAAATCATTTGAGCAACACAGAACAATAAATTCATCAATTGACTGTGTATATGATAGTCATCATGAAAGGAAGAAAACTAGCTTAAGTAATGCCTCAGTACACGAGGAGCTTGAGAAATAAGGAACTAACTTACAGAAGGAATGGTGTACTCTATATCTGATTGAGGAGGGACTGTTATTGCATAACTTTGAAGGTGTTCCACCAAACAAATGTTCCCTTCAAGTTCAGTTGAAACCTGTATTTTCAAGGTACAATCTGCAATCCAAGAACTTTTGTTCTCCAACTGAAGTGTACAATGTAGGTATGACCTCTTAAAATCATCATGAAAAGTTGAAACCAGATGGGGGTCTGTTATATTCACAGGCTGCAGTGAAAACAAGCCCGATATGAGTCCTTGAGTTTATTTAAAAAATCCTCACAGAAAAAAAGGGAAAAAAAAGACTGCTTTAAAAGATCGAAGTCAAACCAGCATCCCTATGTACACTATGGGTTTTTACTGGTTGTATGAAGGAATTCATCATAGGTTTGATTCAGCTAGAGGTTAAGTTCTTTTGGGAATAAGTAGGAAACAAGAAGTACCACATGATCAAATGGGAAGCCCTAGACAAACCCAAAGAGTTTGGGGACCTGGGGTTCATTGACACCAGCACAATGAACATGGCTTTGTTATGCAAGTGGATTTTCAGACTGGAAAGTGGAGAGGATAGCTTATGCATGAATTTGTTGAGGAGGAAATATCCGAGAGGATCGCCGTAAATTGGTAAATGATGGAGAGAGGAGGAATGGAACCGTTACGCTCCCCTGCTCCTGCTCCGCCCCCGCCCCCGCCCCCGCACGCCGCTCCCGAGCCCAGATCCACTGCCGCCAGCCGCGGCCCCCAGTCGTCGACCACTACAGCACGTTCCCCACCCCGCGGCCATCCTCCTCATCCCACTCGCCCAGCTAGCAGTGCCCCACAACCACAGATCGAGCCCGTCTCCCGCCCTGCAAGACCGGCGCCCCGTGCGTCGCCTCCCCGTCGCCCCGTCCCCAAATCTGTCGTCGTGGGGCCGGAAATCCTGCTCGGCGCGCCCGTTGCTGCTTCCGGCGCGTCGGACAAGGCAGGTGGCAGGTCTGGTAAGCGTGTGAAGTTCGCCTCCCCCCTCTGCAACCATTCTGAGAGGTGTTACTACTCCAACGGCACTTAGTCCACGAAATCTTGCCTCAGATCCGCAGCAGTGAAGCATGCTTCTGGTGCTCCAACCGCAGAGCATTCAACTCATCCCCTCCAGGCTGCAGCGCCCTGCATTGATGGTGGTTTTCCTTCCCGAGGGGGGTGGCTCAGGGCAGTCGTCGGGGCGAGCCAGCAGGCCGATGGGGCGCATTCACGCGCGTCAACTGCCCCCCAGCTCGCGTCTGAAGAAGATGGTTGGTCCATGGTGCGCCCAAAGCGCTGGCGGCGTCTCCCTGAGTTCAAGGACACGCTGCATTCAACTCCCTCAACCACCAAGGTCAAATCGGCGCATTACCACCACAATGAAGAGCTTCTGAGGCGCATGAGAGGTAAATGCTTCAGATGTCTCTCCCCTGGCCACGTTGCGGCGGACTGCAGGGACCCGGTGCGGTGCTTCACTTGTGGCCGCTAGGGGTATAAAAGCAGAGTGTGCAAGGGCAGAGCTTCATCCTCCCAGCAACAAGCTCCCCAGCCCACGACAGCTCCTCCACCAATCGACGACAGCAACTTCCCCCCTCTGGGAAGGATCGCGATGGCCAGGCCCGGGGACCCCTCTGTCCGCCCTCTGGATACCTGTGCAGTGGCCTTCTCCATTGATGACATGGACCACGAGCTCGACCGCCTCTCCATGCATGGCATGGTGGCCTGGCTGGGGGGGAACCGGCCGGTGGTGGAGCCAGAGGTCATCAAGAGGGCCATCTGCCACCATTTTCCGGTTCGCCCGGAGGATGTCACCGTCGTCAAGCACTTCCCTGAGGACTTCTTCATCGACTTCAAGCACCGTCACCACCGTGACGAGGCTGTGGCTCAGGGGAGTTTCCCCTATCGCAATCTCGACATCCACACCAGGCCTTGGCAGCTGGTCACGCACGGCGACATCTGCGACCTCAAGTACCGCGTTCGTCTGTGCCTGGAGGGCATCCCACTTCACGCCTGGAACGAGAACATTGCCAAGAGGGCAATCGCCAGAGCTTGCGACCTTGACTACGTCAAGAAGTCTTCGCTGGACCGAGAGGACACCAGGGCTCTCTGTATCTGGGCATGGACGCACAACCCGTCGGACATCCCAAAGGTAACCTGGCTAACCTTGTCATGCAGGAAAGCAGAGTTTCACAGTACCCCACCTGCTCGCGGCCGTCGGGGCCTCACCTTCAGGGTGCTGGTGCACCTTGACCTGGTGGAGGACCCACCGGGAAGGGATGGACGTGCTGCTGCTCCCCGCGACTACACGTGGCACTATGGTGTCGTTGATGGGGAGAGGACGCCGCGTGACCGGGAAGGGATTGCGTTTGCTCATGAAGAAAAACAAAAAGTGATAGGAGATTATTTTAAAAATCACATTGGCTCTACAGTTCCGAGAACCACGACATTCAATTGGCAATCTCTTGGCTACACTCAACATGATCTCTCGGATATGGAAGTGCCTTTCTCCCATGATGAGGTAAAAATACTATAAATTCCATGCCTTCCGACAAAGCGCCAAGACCGGATGGCTTCACTGGTGCCTTCTTCAAAGCTTGTTGGGAAATCATTAAAGAGGATGTTATGGCAGCCATAAACAGCCTATTCACATTGAACGCCCAGGGTTTTGAATGGCTTAACTCGGCATGCATCATCCTTCTACCCAAAAAAACGGATGCAACGAGAGTTACAGATTTTAGACCCATCAGCCTCATCCATAGCATTGCAAAGACCTTCTCCAAATTGTTAGCTAACAGACTTCTCGACTGAACTCCCTCGTCTCCAATTGCCAGAGCGCATCTATAAAAAAGAAAAGCATCCATGATAATTTTCTTTACATTCAGGGTGCAGTACGAAAGCTACACAGGCAGAAGATACCGGCTTTGTTCATGAAACTGGACATCCACAAAGCTTTTGACACGGTAAATTGAGGGTACTTACTAGAGATTCTACAGGCTCTGGGCTTCGGACCACGCTGGCGTGAATGGATCTCTATTCTACTCCGTACATCCACCTCGACAGCCTTGCTTAATGGGCGGCAAAGACCCACTTTTAGCCATGCCAGAGGCATCTGGCAGGGAGATCCGCTTTCACCCATGCTCTTCATTCTGGCTATGGACCCGCTTCAACGATTGCTTGACCAAGCAACCCAACATGGGATACTCACCCCCTTACCCATCACGGCGGCAAAATGGAGAACCTCTATGTATGCAGACGATGCGGCTATTTTCATCAACCCAATAAAAGACGATGTAGAAGCTGTCAAAATCATTCTCCAAGCATTCGGCACATTCTCAGGACTCCATATTAATCTAGAAAAAAGCTTTGTGCATCCAATCAGTTGTGGAAATGTCGATCTAGACCAAGTGCTATCACCCTTCACCGGTAGTAGAGGTGACTTCCCATGCAAATATTTGGGGCTGCAACTCCACATTAGATCACTACAAAAGGTCCATGTGCAACCTCTCATTGAGCGTATTGGACAAAGGTTACCAAAATGAAAAGGAAGATGGCTAAATAAAGAGGGACGCCTCACTCTAGTAACTTCAGTCCTCTCCTCCATGCCAACCTACCACCTCACAGTGTTTCCCTTGGCGGCATGGGCTAAGAAAAAGATTGACAAAATCAGGAGATCTTTCTTGTGGAAGGGGGAGGAGAATGTCAATGGTGGACACTGTCTGGTTAACTGGCCAACAGTTACCAGACCGAAAGACCTTGGTGGTTTAGGCGTGCCTGACCTTGATAGATTTGGGAAAGCCCTCCGGTTGCGCTGGCTTTGGCAAGAATGGGTGGACGACTCCAAGCCTTGGATCGGCTCAGAGCTTCCATGTACTGATGTTGATCGTCTCCTCTTCAACTCCTCAATCATTATAACTTTGGGTGATGGTGCTGTCTGCTGTCCAGAGACGTCCAAAGGAGCTTGGTGGCATGGGCATTTTAGACCTTCAAAGATTTGGCTGGGCACTCAGGGTCCGTTGGTTGTGGTTGGGTAAAACTAAACCTGATAAGCCATGGGCAGCCTTCCCGGTCACGGTTCATGGGAATGCACAGGCCCTATTTGAGGCTGTTGTAACTACGGAAGTCGGCAATGGGGCGAACACCAAGTTCTGGACTGATCGGTGGTTACAAGGGTCATCTATTAAGCTATTAGCTCCCAATTTATTTGCAACTGTACCCAAGAGGCGGGTTAAGAAGCGTATAGTTCAGGAAGCACTAATGGACAATCAAGGTACAGGATATCCAGGGCACCCATTCGTGGAGGTCCTATCGTAATTCTTGGACATTTGGGACTTGGTTCAGAAACATTACTCCTGCCAGAGGTTGAGGATGTTCATAAGTGGAAGTTGGACATTTCAGGTCAATTCTCTACTAAGTCAGCATATGAGGCTTTGTTCTTTGGAGCAGTCCAGTTTGAGCCGAGCACTCTAATTTGGAAGAATTGGGGTCCTGTGAAGTGCAAATTCTTCCTTTGTTTAGTTGCACATAATCGATGTTGGACAATGGATAGACTTGCTAGAAGAGGTCTTCCTCATCCCGAAAGCACTTGCCCTTCGTGACCAAGAGGATGAAACCATTCAGCACCTCCTCTCATTCATCGTGTCTTCTCTCGGCAATTCTGGTTTCAATTATTTCGCACCTTTGCACTCTCGGATATTGCACTCAAACCATCCGCCATGGGTTCTTTGATTTGGTGGCAACAAGCCGATAGCACATTTGACAAAAGAACCAAGAGAGGATTCAATTCATTGGTCATGCTAGGAGCCCGGATGCTTTGGAAGGAGAGAAATGATATTGTGTTCAATGGTGCCTCGCCTAGGATTGAGCGGGTGCTTCTCCTTGCACAAGAAAGAAGCCGCTCTCGGAGGTTGGCGGGGGCTAAAGGCATTAGTGAACTGGTCGCCGCTCGACACGGGGTTTAGCAAAATACTGTTGAGGGAGGTCGTCTTTTTTACAGTTTTAACTGGTGCGTATGTAATCTAGAGACGGTGTGTGTGTGATGTTGTATGGCTATATAAGCCTTTTATCCCCTTTCTTAATGCAATGATACGCAGCTCTCCTGCGTATTCCAGAAAAAAAATGACAAGGTGATTTGGAAATTAGAAAAGTCAGGGAAGTTCACCACAAAGAGTATGCACAGATACATAACTTTTGGTGGGATCATTGATACCAGGATGATGGGAATTTGGATGGCAAAAATACCTCTTAAAGTTCAGATCTTCTTGTGGATGGCATGGCATGACAGAATTCAAACAGCACAACAATTCAGAAGAAGAAACTGGGATGGGTCCAAAGTTTGCAAGTTCAGTGGGAAGGATGAGACAGTGGATCATTTGTTGTTTCAATGTTCCATAGCGGTGGTGACTTGGTGTTGTGTGAGAAACAGTCTGGGCTGGTCTAGAAGCCCATCTTCTATTAACAATTTCCAAGAGGTTTTCCTGGATAGTGCAGGAGGGAACAAAAACAGGTTCCAGTGGTGGGTTATAGCTAGAGTAGGTTGGGCTATATGGAAAACAAGAAACAAACAGTGTTCTCTGATATAATTTAAAAATCTTCTAACCAAGTAAACTTGGGCACCACCCAAGTGCCAAGTTTTCCTGTGGCTGGCTGTACAGGATAGATGTTGGACAGTGGATTGTTTGGCGAAACGGAACTTGCCCCATCCCAACCAATGCCCACTTTGTGATCAAGCGGACGAAACCATCCAACACCTGCTGACTTCTTGTGTCTTTGCACGCGAATTTTGGTTCCGGGTCTTGTCACCACTTGGTCTCCAACATGGTGTGCCAAGCTTAAACGAGCAGAATTTTGCAGAATGGTGGAGAAAGGCAAGTAAGCGCACCCCAAAAGACAAGAGGAAAGGATTCAATTCACTTGTGGTCATGTGCGCATGGTTGATTTGGAAGCACAGGAATGCCTGCGTCTTTGAGGGTGCGAGTCCCAACATGAATGACCTGTTGCGTGCCTTTAGTGATGAACACCACTTGTGGTGTCTTGCGGGTGCACGGAAGCTTGATGCCTTAGATCCAGCTCTAGCGACAGGGTAGGTAGGCGGTTAGAGTGTTGGTCAGGTCTCACCCACAGTGTGTGTTTTCATTGGTTAGAAAAACTTTGTTTCAGGACCCTCTTACGGCTCGGTCCGGAGTAGGGGGGTATAATTGTACAGGACCGTTTTTCCTCTCTTAATACAATGATACGCAGCTCTCCTGCGTATTCGAGAAAAAAAAAGTAACTTACAAAGCGTTTAGTCTCCTTAATCAATGACAGAAGTTGGCGAAGGAGGAGAACAGGATCAAGATGGGGGAGATGCTGTGGAAGATGAAGGACGAGCTTTCAAGTTGGTGAAGTGCACCTAGGCGGGGCAGCTTCTGCTTTAGGTCCTTGAGAGGTCTTTCTAGTGTAGTGGTCAGTTTAGATGTTCCGTTGCCTCCAGACGCGGTCTATAGGCTATCTGCATGTTCGGGGGTTTTTTTTAGGTGCTTTTCTTTTCTATGGATGTTCTGTGAATGCTTGTAATGTAAGCTGGTAACCCCAGCAATACTCCTGTTAAGCTTTCAATATAAGCTGGACCGTTTGGTCTTTGGTCTAAAAAGATCAAAGTCAATGAGTAGTTTCTTCTTTGTGCGTCTCCTCTTTGTGTATCAATGGTGATGCTCCAATGACAAAAGATAGATAAAATAGTATTAAAGGGGAACAAGGATTCATGGACTCACCCCAGATATGGAAATTGATACCTCATCCCAGATACCAGTATTTCGATCTCTAAGATGCCAGAAAAAGAGAGAAATGTCAGAAAGTGTTGGTGTTGCAAATAGTAGCACAGAATGAAAATAGGGAAGAAAAAAACCCTTGCTGTTGCAAAATAAGTAAAAGAGACACTATTTTGACTGATTACCGTAAGTGCAAAAGAGACAAAAGTTGGCAATTAGTTTTAATTATTTGTCAAAGATTACTTGAAAGGTTAGCAAGAAATCAGATATTGCAGCAGTCTTCAGTAGTATAGGGTTTCTGAACTTTGTAGAAACCGAATAGTTTGGGAACTCAAAACATGTGATACATCTTAGGTGACCAAAGATCAACTGATGAAGCATGTAGCTTTACCACAGAAATCACCAACTACCTTATTGGGCACATCCAATCCCATCCTTCAACATATTGTGTAGCAACATCTTTTCCAATCTGAAATGACCACATTGAAATATGTAACCATGCATTAGTAGTCCCTTTAACTAACAATATTTATTTTTAAAGAGTAGTTATGAGACCAAGTATAAATATTGCAATTGGCAGTTGCACATTAAATTACAATATATACTTTCCGAAATGTACTTCAAATCGTAAAGCATGTCCCAAACTACTCAGCAGGGGCAGATCCAAAATCCAAAATTGACATAAAGGGGAAGCTGGACTCTTCTAATAGGACTAACTTCTTATTTTATGAGCCAAATATGTATTAATTTCCTGTGGATTGGACACTGCCCATCAGAATACAAAACAACAGAACGTGGCCTCTAAAACAGAGTACACGCAAGCCATTGCGTGTTTTTACCTATGCTTTCAGCACATTTGATGCAGGTAGCATCTCAGATAAAAAGTATATTACAATTCAAGCAAGGTGACACTATGTAGCTCCTGAAGTGTAGTGCCATCAGGGGGAGAATACATGGGCAACTAAGCAACGCAAGTCCTGTTCGAGCTTTGCTAAAAAAAAGAGTAAAAGGTAATCCAAATCTGCACATTACAATAGGATGGGATATTCCATTATCCACAATTGCAAATCATGTGCGAAAGGATAAATCTACATAAAACTAACCTGAAGGATGTGAGACTAACCTCATGATCACCACCCTGGCCCCCCTGAGCAGGAATTTTGCCAGGGTGATCAGGAGGATGAACAAGGACAGCAAGCAGATTGTTACCATCAGGATGGAGAATATCAGTAATATCAATGGTGTGCCTTCGGAACATTCCTTTTGGTAGTACCTCCTCATGCCCATTTAAGTACATTTCGGCTGAGTAGTTTATTCCCCGGAAGTTTAAAGTCACGTGCTGATTTGCTGTCTAAAGATGAAGGTATCAAGAAGAAATTGATATGTTAAGTGGTTTAGCACCATAACAAGTACATGTGCTGAAATGTACAAAATGCCAGTCCTTAAAGGCAAGAAATCATGTTTTACAACAATTAAGAGCAGTCTCAATATTTAGCATTAACTTGTTCTAAAAAAAATAGCATTAACTGAAGAGATCAAGGAAAAAAGCAAACAGCTATGCTACCACGGCTGCAACGTCACTTCCAAAAAGGCTTCCGTGCAAGCAGAAGTGAATGAAAAGTTTATCAATTGAATATGTGTCCTTAGGTTGCACGGATTTGGTTTGAGTTTAAAGTAAGCTATATAGTACCAGGTTACTAGAGTACTACGTACACGCATAATGATTGTAGTCATCTCTATCTTAAGGAATACTCCTTAAGAGTAACCTGGTACAAGAGAAGCCTATCAGTTTGCACAGTTCATTTCAGCAGAAGACAGCTTAAAGTGCTTGCTGATTGCTGAGGGAGCAGCCACATTCATCACCACAGTAACACTGCAGTACAACTATGCTGAATCAAAAACTGCCTACAGCAAAAAGGGTACAACAATTCCCTTTTTAACTGGATGGAGGAGACAGTGGGATTGATGATGCATTCTTCGTTACAGGAAAACACGATTAACAAACATTCGGAGAATTGGTGCAGTTCTGCGTACCGGGGCACACTTGAACGTGGTGAAGAACCAAAAGGTGTAGTACTCCCTCCCGGCGTCGGCGATGTCGACGATGGCCTGGTTGTTCAGCCCGTAGAAGGGGTCGGGGATCAGGTTGTTCTTGAGCAGCGTCCCCAGCACGCTGCACCATATCCCCGATGCACGCAACAGTATGTCAGAAGCCGAGCGACGATGACAACGAAGCTCGCAGCAATTTCACTCCACAGATCCCCAAAGCGCGAGAGTTCCCGCAGGGGCGGCGGGAGAGAAGGGAGGAGAAGCACGTACGTGCCGGGGACGGCGGCGCTCATCCAGGGCGCGGCGGGGGCGGGGTCGGCTGCCGGCGGGTGCGTGGTGGTGAGCTGGACGCCGGTGATGAGCGCGACCTCGGTGGAACGCGCGGCGAGCCAGCCCGTGTCGAGCACCCGCTTCCCCACGGCCACGGCCATCTCCACGATCACGTGCGGCGAGGTGAGTGGATTCCCAATCCCGGGGGTCCGGAGCACCCGAGTAGAGGAGTGCTCGAGTTTAAGTATGGGTACAATTCTTCGCTTCACCTTTTCGAAAATTTGCCATTATAATTTATCTCCCCCGCGTTCTTGCCATTTTCTACGGTTGCCGCGTACCAAGCCCACTGCCAGGCACGTATGCCTACGGGAAGGCGTACGGACGTCGAGTCCCCATCTCCTCCGACCGAGTCCGCCATCGCTCGCACGCAGGCCGCCGCGGATGAGCGATTGAGCGCCGTCGCTCCGTCTCCGGCCCCCACGGGGGCCGCCAGCAAGGGAGAGGTGTGCGTCCTCTCCATAGACGATGGCCCTGCGCCGCGCTGGTGCGCCTGGAGGCCGCACTGCAGCGGCGCGGCTCGCGGACTTCTTCGACGCGGCGGTGGGGTCCGGCGTAGGAGGCGTCCTGGCAGCCTGCTGTTCGCGTGCGACGTTCTTCTTCTTCTCGACCATCGACGCCGCAGAGTGCGCCACGCACGACTTCCGACTGCGGGAGGCGGAGAGGCCGCGCTCGCCGGCGGCGGCCTGCACGTGAGGAGGGCGCTCGCCTGCGGCTTGCCAGTCTCGACGCGGCCTGCTCGCGAGGACTGGCGGCCTGCAGGTTGGTGCGCGCGAAGGACGCGGCCTCGCTCGGAGGTGTCAGCACTCCACCAACTCCACAGGCACGAACAGGGAGCTCCACAGGCCTGGACGTGCCCTCCACGGACCACGGCGGCGGCGAACTCCTCCAGCGGCCGCTCGCGTGCAGGCCGCTGCGAGCGAGCGCGGAGCTCGTCTGGGCAGCATTCGTTGAGGTCGACGAGGCATCCCGTGTCGGGGCAGTCGTGCATGGCATCGCCGTCCCAGTGGTGCGCGTCGTTGCTGCTGTACCAGGGCGCGTGCACCAGCACTACCACGAATGTCGCCCGCCGCCGGTCGACCGTTGCCAGGTCGCGCGCGGAGCCACCGGTGCTGAGCGCTGCCCGCGGCGTGGTCGGCGTACAAGCCGCGCGCTCGGTACGTCTCGGAGGCTTCGGGCGTGAGGCCGGCAACGAGCAGGTCCTTCGGCTCGGGATCATGCTCTCGCTCCTCGCCTTGGCTTTGCTTGCTGCGGTGCCTTGCCTAGCATCCAGTGTGTGCCTGGCACTGTTGGATGGCCACGGTCTGGCGGGGACGGCATGCTGCTTGGAACGCTGGCCTTCCTCTCGAACGGCACCGAGCTTGTTGGAGATGGGCTTGACCCGCGCCGCCGCCGGGGCCTGCTTGATTGGCTTGAGGCCCTGCGCGTCGCGCGGCTGCTGCTGCTTGTCAGTGGTGAGCGGGTTGGGGTTGACAGCAACGGCGACGTCGAGCGGGCCCATGCTGAGTCCCCGTGTCCGTGGCGGCGTCGCCGCTGCCACCTTTGTCAGTGCGGAGGCGGTGGAGGCAGGAGGAGAGGTGTAGGATCTCCGCCTCGATGTGGCCGATCTCCGCCTTGACATCGGGCGCGGGGCGGAGTCGTCTGTGAAGTCAGCCACGGCAGCGAAGAACGTCAGGCCCACCACGGCGAGGTCGTCCATGGGCTCGCCCCTGCTCCCGCGCCTCATCGCCCTCGCACGGTGGCCTGGGCTGCGGGCGAGCGCGGCTGCTCCCCCTCGCGCGCAGACCACGCCGTGGGTGCGTACTCGCCCGCCGCGGGCGCGCTCGGTCTGACGGAGGAGACGCATACTTGACGTCCGTACGTCTTTCTGTAGTCATACGTGCCTGACAGTGGGCCTCGTACGCGGCAGCCGTAGAAAATGGCAAGAACACGGGAGAGATGAAATTGTAATGGCAAATCTCCGAATAGGTGAATTATAATGGTCTCAGGACTAAGAGAATTGTAATGGCTTACATGAAAATAACCCTTTAAGTATCCAGGGAGCGAGCACTCATCCGCAGCTAGGCGAACCGCCGAGCCGGGTTGCGTGCCGCCCGCTCGCCGCCGAACCGGGTTGCGTGCCGAGCCGGGTTGTTTTTTTCTTTCTCCACTCCACCGGATGAATGGAAGGTTGCGGGGATTGGAGAACAGGTGGGCGCCTGCATCACGGGGGCGGAGGATTCGTGGCAGCATGGGCATGGCGCGGCCCCGCGGTGGTGACGACGCCGTTACGGGATGGGATCGGCGGAGCGCGTGACAGTGTTCGTGTTTCCCCTGCCGGAATGGATAGTTCGAAAGGGATAGGATAACTGATGATGGTGTGTTCCTGCCACGTCACTCCAAGAGTGTGCTTGCAAGCAATCCGGACGCCAACAAAGACAACCTGCTAATTTAGCCGTTCCAGTTTTTTTGTCTAGGAAAAAGTCCAAATTACTCTTCTTAAGTTTGGCATATGTCCAGGTTACCCCGTAAACTTACATTTGGTTTAATTTACTCCCTCCAACTATTTCAGTTGATCAAGTTTACCCCTTAACATGATTTGTTATTTTTGTTTTTCCACGAATTAGTTGAGTCTTAATATCAACTTTTGTGATATGATAGAGAACATCATAAGTTATGTTAGAAAAATATATCTTAACTTTTTGCCACTATTGTGATAGCTTAGAAAATTTAATAATAAATTAACACTAGAGATACAATATCGTATAAAACATAATGATGAAAAATTCATAGTGCATTTTTCTAACATAAAATACAATGCCCTCTATCACCTCACAAAATTTAAAACTAAAATATAATTTATACATAGAGAAACAAAAAAAAAAATCTCGTTAAAGTGTTAGTTGGACCAACTTAAGTAGTTGGATAGAGTAAATTGAATCAAATGTTAGTTTGGGGGTTATTTGGATATAGGCCAAACTTTAAGAGAGTAATATGGACTTTTACCTTTTGTTTATGTAATGTAAAACTGTTACCGATCAAACCACGAGCCACATGAAATCAAGCAAGAAGCTAGAGGACAAAAAGGAAGGAAAAAACTTACTGTGAACGATGTCCTTACTCTATTTATCTTTGTTGCCGAACAAATTATATCGAGTTTCAATTTTTGTTTTTGAAGAGTAAAGGGTAGCATTTCATTGATTGAACCACCGTATCCCTATCTCAAATAACTATGGTCCTGTTCGGCTTACCTTATAATCCGCACTATTTAGCTTGTTTTTTCAGCCGGAACAGTGTTTTTCTCTCACAACAATTCAGCCAGAACAGTATTTTCCAGCCAATTCAGCCAAGTTTCAGCAAGCCGAACGGGGCCTATATATGGAGCTTTATAAAATCAAACCGCGTTAATATATATGGAGCTTTATAAAATCAAACCACGTTAAAAAGTTGGTCAGTCGACGTAGACTTATGCTACCACATTATAACATCTATCGATAGTAATGGAGTCAGGGCTAGAACAAGGAGTGTGCTACTAGAACAAGGAGTGTGTTGAGATAATAGACGAGTGTTGGACATTGAGATAAGGCTTTGACGAAAAATGGATATGAACTCTCACTTGATGGGAGCAGAGTGGAGATGTTTTTTTTGGCTCGACCATTGATATAGCCCCCTAGCACAGGTCCCAGCGCTGTTCCTATCTACCGACATGGATAAAAGAAAAGGTAACACAGGGACCTCGAGACATGAGTCGTCTGTGTTGATGTCTAGTATGAGAGAATTTATTAGGAACTGATTTTTGGCATTTGATTGTAGCTTTTATATTGGAGAGAGGCAATCTGAAACAATTATCCAACTGACGAATTAATTCCGTATAATGTACTCTATTTTTCTTTGCCATATAAGCTAGCAAACGTGAAAGAGAACTGAATGCCTGGAAGCTATTGCCTACACAAGGTCAGAGTCAGTGACCCCATTGATACTCTGCATGCAAGTAGCCAGGAAGTCACTATTGTAGTTTCTTATCATTATCCAAACTCCCATTCATTTGATTCGGCGAAAGCTATCGTGTCAATATTTACCATAATTGAGCTTCAAATTTAAGAGCAAGTAAGATTGCACATTCCTCATAACTTCTCTCAAACCCTTTATACCCTTTTAGAATATGTTATGCATATGCTTAGATTGAAGTCATGATCTCCTTTTAAAGAGAATATTTTCAACGCACTAATGGGAAAATGGATTGATGTATGTTTAAAGGAGCAACCCATGTGACTATGCGAGAGAGAATTGCTTTTGTTTGGCATAGCTCTAACTCCAACAAATTTTAAAGCTGAGAATTGGAATTAGAGTTATAGATATGTTGAAGTTATAGAGCAATGTTGTTATTGTTTTGAATCAAGCACACATGTTTAAACTACTTCATTTTATTTCTGCTCTCAGACATGCATGAATCTCATAGCTAGATCTAGATGTATTCTGGTGGTATCAGTGACTTGTCTTGGTCGCTCCTAATCCATGTTGAGGTGAACCCTTGGTTCACTGCTACTCTATCAGGCTTCCAACCTCGCAAACTATTTTGGTGCCTTGAGTGCTTGATCTTGAGCTGGATAGAACAAGGTGCGACTCAATATATATATCGATTCCAGAAATTCTCTTTTCCTTCTATGAAAGGGATGGGCTCAATAGCCCCTCCCAAATCTTATGTAGAGCACCAACACAATCTTCTTTGTTGTGCTTCGAAGGAGTCCACAAGCTTCAACACCATCTAAGTGGTGGCAACCACCAAGAATAACTAGAAAACCCGCTTGCAATATAAATTTCTAGTGCCACTCAAATAAACACACCAATCAATGCACTAGAATCTTGATCTCACACTCTGGAAGATACAATCCAATGCAAGTGTATGAGTGGAGAGACTATGTATGCTCAAGTTTGTGTATGAGGCTTGTCAAGTGTCAAGAGAGTGCCCATGGCCGGCCAAGCCAAGTATTTATAACCCCCAACACATTACTAGCAATTATGCCCTCACTAGGCACTTTTCATGTGTACTAGATAGCTCCAGTGTGCACCGGAGTGCACCATCGGAGAAAACAAGCAATGGTAAAGTGTATTATGTTGTACTAACCATTACAACTCTGATGCTTTCTCTGATGTTGGAATCGGAGAGAATACCAGTGCACCTTAGATGCCTAGGGTTTGGTCATGTGCGCTATGCGATAACTCCGGTGCATTTCTCCAGTGAACCAATGGAGAAATCTAGTGTGTGTTAAGCCTTTATGTGCATGAAAAACACCCACTCTGTACTCACTCTCCGGTGCACCACAAGAGAGTCATGGTGAGTTCATTTGAATTTGGTGCCACCTGATAGGCTGTTGTTCCAAAGTTCATGTGCTAAACTTCGGTGTGGCACCGGAGATATGGCTTTGAGCAGCCGAAACATCTAGGGTTAGGAGTTCCGAGTTGTTGGATAGCTCCAATGCACCACCAGCGAGTTGCAGCACCCAAAAATAATGCAAACACTTCCTTTTTCAAACCTTTTTCAAGCATGCTAACTCCCAATGATCTTCCACGGGATGATCAACGCATTTAGACCTTAGTTAGCATGTTGAAATATTTTCAAAGTTTTTTCACATGTTTTTCAAAATACCACTTGATTCTAATATGCAATGCAAAGATAGACCTCATAAGTGTCACTAGATAATAACCATAATTCAAACAAGTTTTCCTCTCTTAGTAGTATGACTATATATCGTATCATTTCGATCATTTCTCATCCACCAATTACCTCATGACTGACAAAACATTGTCTTTAGTTTTTCGCCATGATTCTTTGCCACATCACCATAACATCCATGTAGCTCAAGACACCCTAGTGGACTAAGCCTTTAGCCTTACAAATCTCACATGAAATGTTAGTCTACAAGTATTGTTATTAGGTATCAAAATCCAAATAGGGATCTAGATGCTTTTAGGGTGTGGCGTAGCCCGTGACAATTTTATGAATTATATATGTTTATCAAACTTTTGTTGTAATTCTTTGTTGGATTATGTGAACTCTTAAGATGTTAACTAATGTACGTTTGAACCTATGTTGTAAGACTTAAACTTATGTTATATGTGGAGTGAACTTATGTGAACTATGTGTGCCCCTATGTAACATGAGCTTGGATGAAGGCTTACTAGAATGGTTCTCACATATGGTGCTACAAGGGATGGTCGGGTTAGCAAGATTGAGTTAAGTGTGCGGGCTAATGGTGGCAACTTAACTTGGTCTGCCTAATTGGAGGGTTCTCGCAATTATTCCAAGTAGGAATCTAGGGTTTTGTTGTGGTACTCTCAAATAACTATGAGCCGTTTATTTAATTAGATCGGATGGTTAGGATTATCCTTTACTTACTAGGAGGTAATAGGTAAAATATATATATTTATTAATTAATTCTATAAAATAGGATAAGTAAAGAAAAAACCTTTGTTTTAGATTAAAACAACTTTCTTCTATATCTAATTGTTGCATGTGTGATTTGTTAGATTTGCATGCATATTTTAGAACTTTGGAACGTGACATATTTTGATTAATTGGAACATGGGTTCTTTATATCTAGAACTCGTTTTTGGTACGTGTTGCTTGTTTAATTGTGATTTTTTTACCGTGTCACCTCACAATTCGATTATGAATGTGTGTGTTTTAACGTGTTAGCTAACAGAAGATGTTTTTTTTTATATAGTGTGATTCTGATGCCTCAAACGTGTCCAAGAAACACATTACCTATTGTGGTGTGCCGTGTGACGCATAATGCTCACCAAAAGGAAGGCGCACCGCTGGCCTCCAATCAAATGGACTCGGTACATAAAAAAAGGGATTTGGTGGCATTTTATTTTCTTTCCTTTTATAGGTTATTTTATTTATAGTTAGTTATTTTATAAATTCTAAAAATATATAGTTGAGATTTGTTCGAGTCTAGTAGGTAAATATGGTGTGTTTGGTTTGAGGAACCACCCAATCCTAGATGCGGTGATGCTGAATTCATTACTCAAATTTAGTGAAATGACTTCATTCCTCGTACTAGTTCTAATTATTAGCATATGAGGAATTAGGTGATGATGCATCAGCCTATTTTATTCCACAAAATAAACTAAAAAAATATGAAATAAGTAGATGATGGATGATCTCATTCCTCGAACTAAACACACCGTATAGTACCGTAGTAAGGCCCAAAGATCTATTGTGCAATCTTGTAGACTAAGTAGGTAGAAATCTGTGAGATTGTTGGTCAAAACATGTGAAGATTGATCTTTTCGGTTCTTAGGGTCTGTTTGTTTGGCATGTAATTTTTAGGCTTTTGGATTAAAAGTTGGCTTTCTAGTTTTTGCTTGTGTCTGTTGGGTTTTTGCTATTGGGTTTTATAGTAAGCTTTTAGCTTCTCAGCATACAAAAGCCAGAAAAGCTCCTCAGAATGTGCATTCCAGCTTTTAGTTCATTTCCTCAAAAGCTAGTTTTTTAGCTTTTAAAAAGCAAATTCAATAGCTAGTCTGTTTGCTCTGGTTTCCGACTTTCGGCTGGCAGAAGCTAGCAAAAATGTGAAACGAACATACCCTTAATAACCTCTATAATGGGGACAGATGAAGCATATATTAGTAGGTTTTAATAAAATGTTTTCATTATATCAAATAAATGCATATATTAGTTTTACCATGCTATTTACTCGAGATCCATCTAACTACTATTATATCATAATATATGCATTAGGGCTAAAGCACTGTATGTGTGTTATGTCTAACCCATGACTCTATTGGCTCATGCATTTTTGCGATGGCTTGTCTGAACACTCAACCAAATTTAGTAACGCACGACTCAAATAGCAATAGTGATGCATTTTTCTTTGATTGTTATCTAGCATAAATGAGTATAGTAAAGAGTCAAACTATTTGAAATTTAATCAAAGTTGTATTAAAAAGTACTAACATTTAAGATACAAGATAAATATCTTTAAATTAATTATGAAATACGTTTTCGTAGTAAATTTAGTTGAAGATATAAATATTAATACTAGTTATTGTAAGCTTGTTTAAAACTAAGCTATTTAACTTGCCTAGCTTCGAATATTTTTTTTGACTTCTATAGTTGCATTCCCACGGAGCGAGTATTTTCACTCGACGAGTCAAGCTGGTGAGACCAGCGCATCTTTTCACTCGATGATTGGCTGATGGCAGTTGACCACGGCGAGTGGCTGTGGCTCCCTAGTCAGTACGGAGTAGTCACTGCCCCACATTCACATTTTCCCATGCATCTAGATCTGAACACTGATGTCTAAAATACCACTCCATAATCCCCATGTGCAAGTGCAAGGGAGCAAATGGCAGTGTTAACCATTCTATAAGCATCCTTCGGATTCCAGCCCGTTCTGACTACAAAAGTGTACAGACAAACGGAAAGCGCGCACGCCAAAGAGCTCGTCGGCGCTCGCCCAGCCGCTCCGGCCTTCCACGGCAGCGGCGGACTCCCCCTCACGTCTCACCAACCGGCTCCCCTCCACCCACTGGCAGTCTGGGAATGAGGGCTCCTCGCTGGACTAACGCACACTCCCGTCCCCGACCCCGACCGACAGACACCCGCGCTCCGGCGCCTAAAACCCCCCTCGCTTCCCCCGCGCGGGCCGATCGCGACGCCCCACCGCACCGCGACACCGATCCCCCGCCCTCCTCCTCCGCGCTGTCTGTCGGCGCCCGCCACACCCACCGTCCCCAGCCCAACCACCCCAAATCTCGCGCCTTCCCTCCGAAATCCCCAGCCGATACCAACACACCACGCACGCGCTCCCCTCCTCGTCGTCCCCCCCAGATCCGCTCGCTCCACTCTGCCCCGCCCGGCCCGAGGCGAGATGCTCGTCCAGGACCGCGCGTCCCCGCACGCGGCCGCCGCCGCGGGCCAGAACCAGAAGCCGTCCTCGTCCCCGCGCGGCGCGCCGGGGGCGGACCGCCGGCACCCGCGGCCCTTCTCCAAGAACCTCGACTTCGCCACCTGGGCGTCCGAGCACTCCTCCAAGCTCCTCCTCCTCCTCTTCGCGGTCGCCTCCGCCGCCGCCGTCTTCCTCCTGCGCGGCGCGGCCCCCGACGCCGCCGCGCTGCTCTGCCTCGACCGCTCCGCCCGCTCGGGCTCGGGCGGCCCCGCCAGGCTCCCGTACCCGGACGTCGCCTGGTCCAAGGTCCCGCCGCTCGCCATCGCCGCGGGCAGCCCCTTCGCGTCGTTCCGGGCGGAGCGGTGGATCGTGGTCGCCGTCTCGTCCCCGCCCACCGCCGCGCTGGCCGCGCTCGCGCGCGTCAAGGGCTGGCAGCTCCTCGCCGTCGGCGATTCCCGCACGCCCGCGGGGTGGGAGCTCAAGGGCGCCATCTTCCTCTCCCTCGAGCTGCAGGCGCAGCTCGGGTACCGCTCCGTCGACTTCCTGCCCTACGGCTCCCACGTCCGCAAGACGGCGGGCTACCTCTTCGCCATCCAGCACGGGGCCAAGGTCATCTTCGACGCCGACGACCGCGCAGAGGTGCCCGGGAACGATCTGGGGAAGCATTTCGACGTCGATTTGGGATCTGGAGTCACCAACTACCCAGTGCTACTCCAGTACAGCCACGCGGATCCCAATCGCACTGTGGTGAACCCCTACGTGCACTTTGGCCAGCGCTCGGTCTGGCCACGGGGGCTGCCGCTCGATAAGGTTGGGGAGGTGGGCCATGAGGTGTTCTACACCGAGGTCTTCAGTGGCCGGCAGTTCATTCAGCAGGGGCTGTCAGACGGGTTGCCGGATGTAGATGCGGTGTTCTACTTCACTAGAAAGCCGCCAACTTCGGCGTTCGATCTGAGGTTTGATTCCGAAGCCCCGAAGGTGGCACTACCGCAGGGCATGATGGCACCAGTGAACTCGTTCAATACGTTGTTCCAGTCACCAGCTTTCTGGGGGCTCATGATGCCGGTGTCCGTGAGCTCAATGGCGGCAGATGTGATCCGCGGGTACTGGGCACAACGGATCTTGTGGGAGATTGGTGGATATGTCGCTTTCTATCCGCCTACTATTTACAGGAAGGATCATATTCAGGCATACCCATTTGCAGAGGAGAAGGATCTGCACATGAATGTTGGTCGGTTGATCAAGTTCCTGAATGAGTGGAGGTCGAACAAGAGGACACTCTTTGAGAAGATTCTTGATTTGAGCTATGCCATGGCTGAGGAAGGTTTTTGGACGGAGCAGGATGTCAGATTAACAGCTGCTTGGCTGCAGGACCTGCTCGCTGTGGGCTATCGGCAGCCGCGGCTCATGTCATTGGAGATTGATAGGCAGCGTGCAACCATTGGAGAGGGTGACATGAAGGAGTTTGTGCCCAAGAAGCTGCCATCTGTGCATCTTGGGGTCGATGAGATTGGCACAGTTAACTATGAGATTGGAAATCTTATTAAGTGGAGAAAGAACTTTGGAAATGTTGTGATGATCATGCATGTTAGTGGGCCTGTGGATCGCACAGCACTTGAGTGGAGGCTGCTTTATGGAAGGATTTTCAAGACGGTCATCATTCTTGCTGAGCAGAGCAATGCAGAGCTTGCTGTTGAACGCTGCGCATTGTCACACGCTTATAAGTGAGTGTTTACTGCTCCCAATAACCCTTCTCTTCTTTGCAGCTCTCAACCAACCATGATTTATACTAGCTGTTAATAGAACATGCCAGAGCACTGTGTTTGATTTCTTAACCAATTATCAGAAATAGGCTACTATTAATTACTTAAGGTGGCTCCTTTCTTGATCTTTAACAAACAAGTCTTGTTTGGCCTATATGGTTGCATTTCATAAGCATATGTGTGTCTCATTCAGAAGAATTTGCCTGGAATTCTTTAGATAATCCAATATGAAATTAGTTGATGACAGTGTCGGCCCAATTGCTAGTAAGTAGTAACTGTAGATTTTGTAGTCCCAAGCTATCTGCAGCAATGGGTGGAGGTTTAGCAATAGGGCTAATGCTAGATAAGTAATGTACCTTGATGCCTTTCATTTGGTTGTTACCTCACTCCCAGCCCAGTGCTGATGTAAACATTGTGCAGAGGCTGGAACTCATTTCCATTTTCTGAATACAAACTTGACCTTGGTGGCTTTATTAAGAAGAAGTAACCTTAAAATTAGCATCAACAAGGACTTGAGCTTGAGCTAGGCTTAGTTCCTAAAACAAGAAATCTATAAGTTTGCTCATTGATTTGATTTTAGGTTTGTTTGAATCAATAAACATAGTGCTATCATTCATTGCATCCAAGCACAGCAAAATTTCTTTAGGTGCAAACTGAAGTTAGATGAGAGGCATAGATGTGGAGAAGATTCTATTTTTGGGTCATACCGAAGCTATCTACATCGTTTATTGCCATTATCATTGTGATGCTTATGCGATGAAAGTACACTCTTTTCATTTGAGTTAAAATGTCACAGTTGATAGTATGCTCCTCCACTTTCTTCATCATCGATGTGTCTTATAACAAGGATTGTGTGACCTGATGAGACTAATTGTGGCATGTATGCACCTTTTTACTCAAAGAGCTAAATTGAAACTCAGGTTACTTTGGTTGTCTGTATGCCAGTACTCTGTAGTTTGGAATCTAGCAACAAAATGCTGAAGTTATTATTGGAAGTTAGCTATCAACAAGTGCAATGTGCTGCATCTTCTTATGCTATTTGTTCTTTTTAGTGATATAATAGTCTGAGGAATTCACATGAAAATGACATCTATTTGTAGAGTTGTCCTACCCTGCCAGTGGGCATTTAGCGGTTAGACAGTTGACACTGCCACACTGCCACACGCCACACTGGGGTAGACAACATGCTTGGAGCCATGAACTTGTCCTAAACCCAAGACAACAGCGTCTGAACTCTTTAGATTCGGCACACTTCTTTTCCCCGCTGTAATTTAAGTTGAACTGGGTCCTGAAAAGTAATCTATATTTGAACGCACATAAGTTTTTTTCCTAAAAGATATATGCTGTTAACTACTTTTAGTACAATAATCTATGCCTGACTAATTCTTCAGCAACACAGAAGCTGACTAGTGTAAATTGTGCAATCCTTGAGTTCTTTTTGTGCTATCTGCGCAACTGTTGACTTATTTGTGCTTTTGGGGGTGAAAAGTCTGATCTTTTTTAAAAATCAAATTAATGCTACAGTATATCCTCATGCTTTGTTTCTTCTTAATGAAATGTTGTGAAGCTCATCTGTGTGTTCAAGAAAAATAAAGCTACAGAATAGCATAATTTATCTGTAAAACAGAAAACTGAACAAAACAGTGTCATAATGTTATCACATTCCTTCACTACGTTTTGATATGTTTTCATGATTAACTCAATAATATCACTTATATAGCTTGCCAAAACTTCATCCTCATAACCTCATTTGACTTGTGGGCTCAATCTACATGGTACAATAAGGGATTTTGGAACTATACACAATGGCATATAAGGAATCAGTTCTATGTTCCTTTGAATTCTGCTTTCTGGATGGTACAATACTACCATCTTTGCTGATCATGCTTGAACTCCTTTTACATTTCATCAGGTATTTGCCCAAGATTTTTGAAAGATACAGTGGTGCTGATGGATTTGTGTTCCTCCAAGACCACATGATTCTTAACTACTGGAACCTGATGCAAGCTGACAAGGAAAAACTTTGGATTACAAATAAGGTCTATATATTGTCTGTTTGCTGTTTCCCCAGCTATCTTTTATTGATCAGTGCAACTGCAAATGCTACTGTAGGATTCATGCTATATTTCTGATGCTGCAGATTGCACATTCTTGGGTTACTGTTCCATTGGAGACGAATAAAGAGGAATGGTTTGTAAAGCAAGGTGCGATGGTCAAGCAGGTCATTGGTAGTTCCCCAGTTCATTTCCAAACAAACTACAAGGAAAGCATGGGCGAAGATAAGATTGCATTCTGTGGTAGTGAACTATTCTATGTGCCCCAGCAGTTTGTTGAGGACTTTGGTGATCTTGTGGGTCTTGTCGGCGATTTGGATTTGCATCACAAGATTGCGGTCCCAATGTTCTTCTTGGCAATGGACTCGCCTCAAAATTTTGACTCCGATGCTCTGGCTGGAACAGTGTTCAAGAACCAGTTGCCAGCCAATGCAACGTTCTCGTCTATTTATACAGCTCAAGCACCTGCTGTTTTCCCTGTGAAAGTTATGAATGAGATTGATTTCATAAAGGTGATTCGGCTAATGTCCATAGGAGACCCACTTCTGATGGAGTTGGTATAAAGAGATAATGTGTAGTTGAAGTGCAAGCTTATCCTTGTGGCCATGAGGACAGAGTAGACAAGCATAGTTTTGTGTTTTCTGGGGGGTTTTGTAATTTCATTTATTTTGTTCATTCTGTAGCTGTTTATTTCTCTGCTGTTGTATATTGGTGTATCATTAGTGACAAGGTTACTTGGGATCAGCTCGGTCCAGCTGTCCTGCTGAAAGAAAGGACGGCCTGTCAGATACGATACGAGTCACGGAGAAGAGCTTCAACCTGGCCAGCTGCTGTTTTGCAAGATTTTTGGGTTGCCAATAGTAAAGATCCACACTTGAGCAATTTGTTGTACCATTCAAATTTGACAAACAAAACTGATACAAACTCTCAGAGGAATATCTTGTGCTCATTACAGAAAGCATTGATATAATGAAAGTTGGCTGTTTGTAAGTTTGAGCAAAATTTTTTCCTGATTTGATTAGAATTTACATCTTAGTGGTGTCTGGTACTCTGGTTCTGTTTCTGTAGGATTGAATTTAAGTCGTTCTTTGACCAAGTTTATATTTAAAAAAACACCAAACCAAGTTATTTACTACATCCCCATGAAATGTGTGTTTATTGGTATTGTATATGTTATTATATTTTTGTCCAAATTCAGAGAAGTTTGACATAACTAAAAAGAACTACGATTTGGAAACGAGGAAGGAGTAGTTTTGTGGGGTCCGTGCGTTTCCGGCGACAAGCTAACATATGATCTGCTCTACGGGCTTCTGTATCCAGATGCACTGTATAATCTTGTTTCAAATCAGCCAGCAGGCCAAAACAATGTCGCAACTGGAGGAAAAAAAGTATTGTCATGTGTTTGGGCCAATATGTAGTGAATGAATTCGAAACTTGTGGCCCAAAAGTTTGACCGGCTTCCATTTTGCTGGAAGGAATGAATGTATGCATTCTGCAAAGGCCCAAGTATGGAGTTCCGGGTATGTCTAGTCAGTTTGTTCGGCAATTTTGCTCCAGAACACAACTCTCATCAACAAGGATCTTCTGAAGTTTTGATGCGGTGAAGTATCACTGGTACTGTGTGTGTTGAGTCGTAGCAAGACACTGAAAAGAATGGGGGACGATGATGATGCCCCATGTACTAGGCTAGCGATTCCGTGGTTGGTTGACCACTCCCGCCAACGAACCTGCAATGCAAAACACGATGTGTGAAAAATATATTAATATAAACTAGTCCAGCCTGTCACTCGTGTGTTGGCCTGTTGACAGCTTCCCTGCTAGTAGTACGATGAAGAAGCAACTTGAGGAAGCTGCTTGGAGGCTTCTGCCGCTAGCTATTAGTAGCAGGGTCAGGTCTCAGGACAAGGGCTCTCTCCCTGTCGTGACTCGTGAACAATCCAGCACTTACAAGAATACGAGTTACAATCACCACCACGATCTCCGCGATCTCCCCATGTTAAGGTGATCTCCCCATGCTAAGGTGGTGTTTAAATTCAGGAAGTAAAGTTTAGAGATATTATGTCATATGAGAGTATTCGGATAGTAATAATAAAATAAATTATAGAAGTCCTTAGTAATTCACGAGGTGAATTTATTAAACCTAATTAATCCGTCATTAGCATATGTTTACTGTAGCATCACATTGTCAAATCATAGACTAATTATGCTTAAAAAATTCGTCTCGCAAATTAGTTGCAATCTGTGCAATTAGTTATTTTCTTAGTTATACTTAATACTCCATGCATGTATTTAAATATTCGATGTGATAGTAAGTAAACTTTAGAGAGAGAAACTAAACTAGGCCTAAACGGTGCCCCACGGAGATCCGGCACCCAAATCCCTGCATGCAGTGCAATGCACCGGGCGCGCCTGCAGCAGAACAGTGCTTGCTGGTTAGTACCCTCCATTCACAAAAGAAGGTAATTCTCGTTTTTCGAGAAGTCAAATAGTTTAATTTTAATTAAATTTATATAAAAATTACAAACATATAAAATAAGTACCCATTAGATTTGTTATGTAATCTATTTTCATAAAAAGAAAATATTTAGAGACATAAATGCTAAGTTGGTCAAATATGAGCTGTTCTGACTGACACGATTCCCATCATTGCCTGCCGCCGCGTCCCTCGCTCGCGCAGCTCGGTTGATCGATCCCACACGCCGCTGTCTCTTGGTGCGGTCCGCTGTCCCCACCTGCCGGGGAACAAGGCCGTTAGGGGCGAAGGCTAGCCGGAGCGCCCGCGTCACCACGTGTCGCCTCGCCGACATGTGGAGTCAAAGAGACGTCGACCTACTACTCTCTCCGTAGATCTACAGAGCGTCACTGGCAACGGATCCACCGTGTTCGTGCCGCCACTGTCACGGAGGTACGTGCTCCTGTGGCATGCATGTGCTAACGTGCACTGTGCAGGTTTTGGCGTTTTCGAGCTCCCGGAGGTGTTGCTGCGCCTGCGCTGGGACCACGCGGCCACGACACGGCGAGCGAGAGCATCCTAGGACGAGAGACGGCCACGCCGGCGAGCAGCCCGGCCAGACGGCCAGCTCCATCATTTGATCACTTCATCTTTCATGGAGGGTAGACTCGTGTTACTTTATATTTAGGGTCTCTTTGGCACAGCTTATGCCGGCTTCGGCTTTATTTATTTTACGTAAATCGAGGCAGTGTAGCGCGAAGCCGTTTTGTAAGTCGGGGTTAAAATGAACTAGAAACCGAAAAAAGCCAGTTTTTCTGGCTTCATCAACTTTGGCTTCACCGGTGAAGCCGTTTTGGATGAGCTGTGTCAAAGGAGACTTTATTTTTTTTGAAACAAAAGGGGGGAGGGGTTTATTGTTACAACTCGTATGTGTAATACTCATAGTTTTAAATAGCGGGCTATAGCAAATAATGACATCTTTTTTCCAGAGGCTATACAGCTATAGCATCGCTATAGCGGAGCTATGCCAGATAGCGGTTTACAAGAAAATCATAAAAATATGACTAATTGATTCATAAAAAATGACAATCATAAAATTTGATGAACACAAAAATCTTTTCAAGGTTCTAGGGATGTTGGAAACAATACTTAATATGATATTAGAGCATGATTCATGAAACTCAAGCGTTCAATTTTGCTAAATACCAACTTTATAATAAATTATAAGTAAGTAATAATTAGATTGTCACTATTATATCTGAAATTGAAATAGCGGCGCTATTTCAAAGCTACGGCTAAGCAATTTAGCGTTGCTATAGCGCAATATAGCGGTCGTAGTTGACATAGCGGCAAAAGTGACAATAGCTTAGCATGGTATCTCCCTAGCAGCTATAGCGCCGCTATAGCCCACTATTTAAAACCAGGGTAATACTATAAGGCCCCTTCGGAACGCGTGAAACTTTCCCGTTTCATGCGTCTTTCTTACGAAAACAAAATGATTCATGTGAAATTATTGTATTATTCCTATGAAATTCTTGTGTTCCAAAGGGGCTCTAATGTAACACCCTCGGTGTTACACTGTAAATCGTTTACTAAAACACTGCATGAGCATCGTATTTATGTGTTAATGCATGTAATATAGAGTGAAGATCAATTTTCGTAACTTAAAACGACCAATGAAAATGCATAACGAAAGGCTGTTCGCGACTTATGAAATTATCAAGTAAGGATGTTCGCGAATTTTTATTGAACAAAAACACTATAGAACGTATATACGGAACTTTAATAAAGTTAGAAGTACAAACTTTGTAGATGACGATGAAATACCTGCGGTCGAATAATGAATTCACTAGCTAACATATCTAATAGCTTGGAAATCAAATTTGACGTGAATCCGATCAAGACTTAGTCGAATTTCTAAGGCTGAAAAATGGTTTGACAAAGCTATGTTCGGCAAATTTTGTAGAGTAATTGGGTTAAGGAGTTATGGGATATTAGGGCTTGTTTTAGTAGCCTAACATGCCCTCTTAAGTATAGCATAGGTGGTTTGGTGTTTGAATGAACGATTTGGATTTTTAGGACGCTTTAAAAAGCGTGCATGGCACGTGCTAGGTCGGGTTCCTCGTGTTGACGCGGTCACCGCGCTCCTGTGCCGTCGTCGGCACGCCGGCCGCGCGTGCGCGTCTTTGGCTGAGCTCGGCTGGCCAGCTGTGGCCGGCAGCCTTGGTTTGCAACCGTCCCATCTCGCTGCCTCGATGCGCGCCGCCGCTAGCGCCGCTGTTGGTGTCTCTGGGGCCGCCCGCGTCGCTCTGCTGCTCGGTTCTGCTCCGCCAGGTGTCGTCGTCGTTTTTGCTCGGGCGCAGTGGCATCGCATGGCCGTAGTCTCCGTCACCAACACGCGCACGTTCCTCTACGCTGCGTCGTCACATCGGGCGCACTACGCGCGTAGGCTCACGGCACCCCCACGTGCCTCTGATCTGCCTGGCGTCCGTGTCCCGTCGAGGCGGCACAACGCCCTCTGCTCATCGTGCCACTGCCGCTGCCGCCCTTGCTCTGCCGCGCGTGCAGCCATCCCTAGTTGCGCCTTGTCCTTTTCTATTTAGTGGCAAGCGCCACGCCGCGCTCCCCAACCGCCGCCTTGAATGGCGTCGGGCCGGTCCGACCGAGCCACGCCAATGCAAACCAGAGCGCCGGGTCACTTCTAGGGTAATTCCGCTCACCTGTGACTCAATTGGGAACTTAGCTACGCGCCTAGCCCGCCCACTATTGCAGCCATACCGTGTTAAGCTCCAATTTGAAGATTCCCCATCGTCGGTCACCTTAAGACCAATTCTGTGGCACCGTGTCTTCGCCTTGATCCCCTCCACCCCGTGCGCACCCCATTTTCAACGTCATTGCTTTCCCGGCGCCGCTGACACGGTCGCTCCACCGCAGCCCGTCGCTGTGCTTGTCGTGTGCGCGTGGCCAGACGCACCCGGTCCGTCCCCGGTCAAGCCACCACCACAGGTAGAATCGGGGTGAGTTGCTAATCCCATATTTTGGTTCTTTCACTTCGGGCCTTGGCTCATGGGAACATGGCTGCCGCCATCGTAGGGTGTCCGCCACCGTGGAGGGAGCTCTTGACCGTGTCTCCATTCATCGCTTCACTGCCCACCGCTTCGCGTTTGCATCTAGGTGAGCATCGGCTCCGTAGAGGGGGCGGGGAGGGGCCCGGACGGTCGGCGTGGTGGTCCAGTGCCATCGTTACCGCGTCGATGCGCGTGGGGGTGGCCAAAGGACCCACCCATGGTAAAGAAGTCGTTTGGGAAGGGCTTA